GCAAAAGGGGAGCTGGCACGAGATTATCCAAAACAGTTGGTGCATTCCTTAATGATCAAGTGCTTGAGAAGTCCAGTTCTTCTGGCAGAGCATCTGTGTTGATGTTTATATCATTGCCCTGCTGTATGGGAAAGGCATGCTTTCTCTTGCTGCTTGGCTAAAAATAGGGTGGAATATAGCATTGTATGAGATATTTTAAGATAGCAAAAACATTTAAGAGGTTAAAGGTTTGACTTTTGGACCAGAAAAGATCAGTGGTATAACTCATGGTGTTACTTGCAGGCTGAATTTTATCTAGAGTCTGTTAGTGATTTGTACTTTTGGTCATGGAAGTTATTCTAGGTTTATTTGGTGCAGTCTGAAAAACCTACTTGGTGTCTTTTCTGTCAGCCTCCCACCGTGAAGAGCAGGCCTGAAAACAGCCTCTATTTATACCCACTTGTTCTTATTTGGAAAATCAGTTGTTTCATTGGAGAGAGAGAGAGAGAGAGAGAGAGAGAGAGAGAGAGAGAGAGAGAGAGAGAGAGAATGGGGGGAGAGAGAGAGAGAGAGAGAAGAAGAACATGAGCAGTCGTCAGGGTGTGCTTTGTGTGTTATAGTGACTTCAAAATAAAACTGGCACATTTTAGTGTCTAATTATTTTTAGTGAGCTTGGAGGGTTTTAATTAAAATTTAAGAGTGCTCTTCAAGCTCTCCAAGCTCCAATTTTATCCCACTGTATTGTGGAGCTCTTGCCACTGAGGAAAAATGTACTGTAACTGGCATGTGCATCTCCATGTTTCCTAATGAAAAGTGTGGAATGGATAATCAGTAAGGATATAAATATATATTGCCGGATTTGGTTGTAAACCAAGGTCATGTGTACTTTTGATAAGTTATCATTGTTCTTGGATAAATAGAAAATGTGTTGCATTTGAAATTTGTGATTCCTATGGTACAAATAAAAATAAATTCTTTATTATGTTTTAAGAGTTAATAAAGCAATAGGAAATCTGCATACAGAGGCAGCAGTCATTTTTTTCACACTAAAATATTTTGAAGAAATTTTTATGTTTCTAATGTTTTTGAAGATATTATATGTTTCTAATTTTGAAGATATTTTATGTTTCTAATGTTTTGGAATTTCTAAGTTTAAATATCACTTTGTGGTAAAGGGAAAAATAAATGTTTGCTTACAGGTAAAATGTTTTAAAGTACAGTAAAGCTATTTCCCCCTATCCTTGGCTCTTCCCCATGCTTTAATTTTAATGATGATTTACTTACTTTCTTTGGTCCACTTGAAATGCCTTTATTTTGTGTGAATAGGAGTTTAAACTGCTGCAGTTTTGTCTAACTAGGAGTACTTTAAAATTATTCCTAAAATATCAGCACATAGATCAGGAAATAAATACCTCACATATTGCATTTCTATTACATCATAAAATCATTTATTAGTAGGCAAAAAAAACATTACTAAGCCATGACAAAGCATTCTTAACTTACATGACTTGAAACCTAGGTACTTGGGAAGCAGAAACATTGCCTTGTACTTTATTATGCAGAACATATAAAAAATAAAATACTTCTGAATTGTATCTTGCTTTTTTCCACAGAAGTGTTTTGAGAGAAAAAATTAAATTTATACAGGAAGAGTAAACCCCAGAAACTATGCAAGTGATAATTTGTAACATATCAAAACCTTTATATCCTTGCTTAAAATATAGATTATATTGAAATCCAGTTTTTGATTTTGTATAGTCCTGTTTTAATAACCATTGTTTATAAAAATTAGACATGATAAAACTCTGTATTTAACTGAATAAGTTTTGGTTAATGGAAATAAGATCTTTGCAAGTAAAAAGAATTAATTTTGACATTTTTTACTTTAGCATTATGACTTACATTCACTTAAATAATACATATTATGATGACATTTTTCATACTGTAACATTATAATTTTTTAAATCTCAGTTCCCAAAAGGCATGTAGTTTCTTTCCTGTTTTTCAGCTGAAGACAACTCAAAGACACTAAACTCAGATAATAAAATTTACTGCATATTGTTTCATAGTTTTGAGGATGATGGAATCACTGTAACTAATTTGTTGTTTTCAAATTAATTGTGCAAAACATATTAAGTATATAAAATAATACAAGAGTATCTTGAGGATGTTGAGTTCTTTTTTCCATTTGGAATTCTACGTGACTACTGTGTTAAAGTCACTCTGTGCGGTCGTCTTCTTTTGATGTACATCATGCCTTTTTGGTTTTTGCATTTGTGCTAGATCAGAACAGGACAAAGTCTGATCTGATAAATTGCTTTTGTAAATCTTGTGTCCTATTAATGTAGTTGAAATGTGGCACAAGAGGGATGAATTCTTACTTTTAATTTGCGTTCGTACCTGGATATTATTTTGTGTGAGAAATTTGAACATATAAACTCTCATATGTACTTTTGTATGTATTGTATGCTTCATCATTTGAAATCAGAAACTTTTTGGTGGTGACTTGTTAACAACCTGCTTGTGGCCTTTCCCACCCCATCTTATTTGCTTTACATTTTAACTTGGAGAGTACTTAGCACCAATTGTGGTATGCCTTTAGAGGTTTGACAGTCAGATTAAGGGGGAGTTTCTCAAGAGACTTTAATACAGCTTTGAGCTTTCCTGGAATCTCCTTGCATTGAGGTTAAATATTGATAAGGTTATACGTAGTGCCTATAGATAAAGGCAACAGCAACTGTTATTAAATATTTTCATGGCTGTAAATGTAGACATGCAAAGGCTGCTTTATTTATTCCCTCAGTTTCTTCTACTGAAATGGGGACGCATATAGCTAGATTAACCCAGCATTACAGTAAGGATTAATTTTCTAATAGGAATGTGAAATGCTTTGAAGTTATTAACTATTTTATTAATGAGCAACTTTTATGTAAAACTATGTCCACGTGGTTTGATTTATGTTTGAAGTGTGTGTTTCTGTTGTGCATATAGTTCTATTTTTCTTCCATGAAGTTTCAGCATTCTTTTCTTGGAGTACTAAAAGATTTCAGGTCTATTTATAGAAATAAGAGACATATTTTAGCCTGTTTTTACATCTAGTATGTCTCTAATCCTAGTATATGGACTTGGTCTGAATTTGTGATCATTACAAATAAGTTGAGCTTTTGTTTTTGACTACTATAATATATGCTCTCAATTCAAATTTTGGCTAAACAAGTTTTACTTTTGCATTTGTATCAGTAATTATCAATTTAGTGCAATGATTTAACATGTATGAAAGTGTAAAAAATTAGCAAAATTGGGTAGGATATTATGTTCAAGACTTTTTGATTATTTTTATCCAAACTAACATTATTTCAGTCTCTCTCAGAAACTGAAGCCTGATTTGAGAAAAAGTAATCTCTGATAGGCATGGCTTTGAAGAGTGGCTTCTTAACTTAGTATTTTATTTTTATGACTTTAACATAAAAAAAGTAGGTGTATAATAAAATATATATCTTATTTCTCAATGTGAAATAAAACATAAGAGGAGACCATTTTGGCAATTAAATACAACTGGAACATATGCATATAGACCCCATTGGACAGTCACTCAGAATCCAATTTTGCAGCACAGTAGTAGATCACTTGTTGAAGCCCAGGAAAATGGTAAGAAAGGGGTGGCACAAAGGAAAGAAAGGAAGAAGGAAGAAGTAAGGGGAGGGAGCTTCACTTAATAAAATCAAGCTGACTTCCATTTAGAAAGAACTGTAGTTAGCTTCTGTGAAAGCTAGTTAGTACGGTTGTTCTTCATCCGTCATTTCTTGACACACTGATCTGGATTTCATCCATTCCTTGATTGATTGATCGTGTCATGGACAAATGTTAATTGTTTTTCACCAATACTTTCTAGCCATGCAGTGGTCTTCGCATTTCTTAACCAGAGCTCACTGTCTTTTTCAGAAGCTTATCTAGCTTCTAAAACCCTTTAGATCCATCTTGACCTTACTGTCATTCTGAAAAATTCAAGGAGGATTTAGAAGCTGGAGAAGAAAAAAAAAAAAAATGAAAGGCAAAATGCTAAAGAGCTAGGAGCTGATATGGGAGAGAAAAGGCATTTGGAATTGGACTAACCATTTAAAATATAATTTTAAAAGAAAGTTATCAGAATTTTGACACAGAATTTTGGGAGTATGCTTTGCACCAAGGATTTAGTATTTAAATCTGCATTCTCTTTTGGAAACATGACCTATTTGTTAAGATTTCAGGCTTAAAAGGTACAAGTATGCAAATCCATATTCATAGAAATTTAAAAAAAAAACTCACTGAAAAAATTTGGTGAGTATGAGGACATTCTAAAATTTGAATTTCTGTAAACTTTATGAATCTTTATAAAATAAATGTCATCACTCCCTCTAATCTAGTACATTATTTAGAAATGCAGTAGGGGAAATAATAAATGGGTATTTTCTTTAATAAAAATTTGCATCAATTTTTATATACAAGAAAAGTCTTAGTAGTTTTCATTACAAACAGAGAACATCTTAACTTCATTTTCTTCTTGTTTTGCTCTAATTGGGTATTTTACAAAAGTTGGATTCTTTTTAAGGACTAAGTGGTTTCAGATTGATTGACCTCTTCTCCCTTGACTATGTCATTGTTCCTTGCATAGTACATACATTTTGCTTTGGCTTAAAAAAACACTTAGGTTAAAAAGTTATATCTAAAGTTAAAGTTATAGGAAAGAGCCTCCTTTTTTGTCCTGTCAGTCTAGGAACTGACAAATGTGATTTAATAGAATTATAAAACTAAAACAAGATTATTTATCATTTTTTCCTGATGATAGTTTAAATAATGTTATGGTAGAAATAAATTTAGTTGTAGTATTTTATTATAGAATAATATAATTGTCTATATCCAGCGTTAAAATGACAGTAACAAAAATATTTCTGTGCATTTTTAAAACAGAATTTCTCCATAAACTGGCCCTCTGAATTCATAATATATGTATATATTTAATACTTACTTTTGTATTTTAATAGATTCCTCTTGCATGGAAAAACTACTTTCAAAAGATTGGAAGGAAAAAATGGAAAGACTAAACACCAGTGAACTTCTTGGAGAAATTAAAGGTACAACATAAAATATATCAAGCATATCAATGCAGAGATGTCAATTCGTGTAACAACATATTTGCTAATCTTCTGTGACATAGACTAAATTTTTACCTCTAATAATTATATATGAGAGGGTAGTGTGTTCCTGAATTTTTATTCTTTGTAATGCTTACAAAATGAAATTTTTGCCCACTCCTTGTATTAGTCTTCAGACATATAATTTATAGGATGCCTCTTTAACTTAACAAAAAGTGGAGGAAAGAAAAAACAGTTACATCAAAGATGAAGAACAAAATAAGCTAAAGACAATCTTAGTGTTTCCTCTAAAATCATAATATTAGCTTAATTAATTCAAATTAATTTGAATTTCTTCTAATCAAAAGGGGCCACCTGTAGTATCCTTCAAAATGTGTATGCAGTGTGCTGTACACATTTGTGGTAGATTCTGAAGTCTGTTTACCTTGGTTCAAATCCTGGCTTTGTCACTTATTAGATGAGTGACTTTGGGCAAGCCACTGTACTGCTCTAACGTGGGGATAATAATAGTAATTACTTAACAGGCTCATTAAGAGAGTTAGTACATGTAAAACTCTTAGAACAGTACCTGGCACTTAAGAAAGTACTCATGAATGTAAATTGTGGTGGTGGTTGTTATTAATATGCCCACAGGATCTTACGTTGATTAATCTCAAATAAATTTCATGGGATTTAGCATTTCACAATCTTTGACTCAGATGAGAATGAGCATCTTTATTTTTTAATATACGTGTTATCATTTTAAATATATTAAGAGGTAGACAATCCCAATCCATTCCACTGTTAAATTACCCTATCAGTTAAGAGTTGTACTTCTTGCCTAACCAAACTCTTATTGATTCATTTATGAAGATGATGTACTATATTACTAGTTTTTTGGCATCATGAATGAAATTCATGATAATTCATTAATTTTATCCCTTACAGACAATCATTACTGTGATTTGCACTAACAATTTGGGAGTTTAATTATATTAGTTTTCTGAATTTATCAAATTTTAGGTGAATCTTCCTATTGGTTGAGGATAATATGTCTCAGTTAAGATGAAAATTTGACAATAATTATCTAATGGAAATGTTATTCTGAATTTACTACAGAAAATGTCCTAGTGTTCAGGCATGCTGTGTTCAACTCAAATTCATCTTTTTTCCAATGAGTAATTAATAACTCATTCCATTAACTAATGTAGCATCAAAATAAAGTGGAAATTGAATTGTGTGTGTGTGTGTGTGTGTGTGTGTGTGTGTGTGTGTGTGTGTGTTTCGGGTTTCTGTTTTGTACTCATAAAGGACATTTGCTGGTTTGAAAAAAAAGAAAGGAAACAACTTATAAGTGATGGGTAGAAAGAAAGTCATTAGTGACATATTCTGTATCCAGCTGCAGTAACATGGTGTTTGCTACTTTGCACGTCATTCTGTGTTTTCTTCCCTTTCCAAAGTCATTTGCTTTTATAACAGAGCAGAAATGGTTTATACAAAGGCAAGTTTCTGCCAGCATGAGAGATAGGGGGACTTGCTTTCTCTTAGTAATGCTAACATTTTATTATGTTATAATTCAATACTGAGTTTTTTTACTTTAGAGCATGTTCCCTCCACTCCACTTTCCATCTTTCTTTATATTTAATTCTAATGATAAATGTAAAATCTAGAAAATGAATATTATATTATATTATATATTATACCTAATGAATATTATATTAGACACATTACGGTTAATGGAGATTTTATTAGATATTCAAAATGCATAGATCTCCAAAGTGAATCACATACAAAATTAGGCTTTTCAAATTTTTAAACTTTTTTTTTGGAGTCTTTAAATGATATGTGAACCTTCATTTGTGTGCTATTGGGGATAAAAGATACAATTTTTACTAAATTTATTTTGATTTGTTCTATATTATTGTCTCTTCTTATATCTTAACATCTTGTCACCGTACATATTATACAGAAAATATACCAATAATATGTTAATCTAAAAATGAAAAAAATTAGTTAAAGTAGTATTTGTTTAGTTTGATTCAACCACTGCCAAAACTCAACATACATTTTTATTCTAGTGGAGACCAGGCCAGTTATTATCCACCTAAATTAGTGATCATTATCCTGAAATTTTAAAGTGATCTAAATTGTATCTTTGAGGAATACATACTATTATGGGTTGTTAGTATTTAACATTATGCCTCAAGAATTGTGTATTTTTAATAGCTCTTTTATTTTTCTGATTACAAAATTCATACATATTTATTTATAAGCAACATTTTAAAAAAGAAATAATCTTTTGATTCTACCTACATCTTATTGAATATCTTTTCAATTTTGACTTATGCATATATATGTTACATTTTTTACCCATAAAATTAGAATAATCTCTTTACTATTTTTTGTAATCTACTTTCCCCACTTAATGATATATTATGGATTTGCCTGTGATTAGGTAATCTAAAATATTATTTCTGTTGGCAGAAAATGTTGCATAAAGTTGAGGTTTTTATAATTTAATTAAGCCTTTTATTCAACATTTAAGTAGTTTTTATTGTTTCCCAATATAAAGAAAACCTTGAACAAGGATAATCTTTTATTAAGACTCGTCAGTTTATTAGTGATTATTTTTCTCAGATGTGTTCTTAAAAGTGATATTCCTTAGTCAAAGAACTTTTTCTTTTTAAAAGTCTTTTGGTTCATATTGCCAAGTGCCCTTCAGGAAGATAATGTTTTGTGCTCTCACCAGCAATATCTACAAGAGCTTATTTCCTTGCCCTCAATAGCAAGTATTATTATTAGTTTTTCTTTTTGAGGTGGAGTCTCACTAAGTCGCCCATGCTGGAGTGGCAGTGACACACTCACGGCCACCCCAGCGTCAACCTGCTGGGCTCTGGTGATCCTTCTGCTTCAGCCTTCCAAGTGGCTGGAGCTGCAGGCGTGCACCACCACATCGGCTAATTTTTGATTGATTGTAGAGACGAGGTCTCACCAAGTTGCCCGGGCTGGTCTCGAACCTGCAGGCTCAGGCAATCCACTTGCCTTGGCCTCAAAAAGTGCTGGGACTACAGGCTGAGCCACTAAGCCCGACCAGCAAGTATTATTACCTTAATATATATATATATATATTTTTTTACCAATTTTTTAGGAGGAAGACAGCATATCATTTTAAACAATTGTTTTTTAAAAATTATTCATGAAAATGAAGATTTCTACATAAATTTATTTGCTGTTAAATATCTCTTCCTTTGTGAACTGTATATTTATGTTGATTGCCCATTTTTCCTTTCAAGGACTTGTCTAGTTCTTATTGTTTCGTAAGAACTCTTAATTTTTTTTTATAATACATACTGGAAGAAAATTATACATACTGGAAGAAACCTTTTGAAATACATTTTAATAGTATTAGCCTTTGTTATACCGTTGTATTTTGTCATTCATTTTATTTTATGGTTTTGTTGTCAATCTTTCCATCCCTTTGTTAATGCTTTTTCTGTTGAAAGGTTGTTTAGAAAGGCTTCCCCACCTTGAGATTAATATTCTGCTGTATTTTCTTTCAATTAGTTGACTATATTTCTAAACATTTAACTCTTCAGTTACTCTTAAATATATTTTGAAGTATATCGTCATCTAGAAATGTAACTTATTTGTCTCAAGCAGTTAACCAAATATCTGTACAGTTTATTAAATACATCTTTTCCACTCTGACTTGAAATAGCATCATTGAATATACTGATTACATATTTGGAATCATTTCTCAGGTTTTGGTTCTATTTCATCAATCCGTCAATCACACTTTTGTTGGTATTATGGTATATTAATCACTGTAACTTTATAGTAGCTTATAGTAGTTTTCGAAAGTAAATATTGTAAGACCATGTTCATAATTTTTCTTTAAGGTGTTTTTATACTTACCTTAAGTTTATTATTGATTTATTTTACCAATTTGTTAATTAAAATTCCAAAGTGATTTTTAAAAGACTATATTACATTTATATAAAACTAAAGGGTGAACTGACATCTTTATAGTGTTGAATATCTCCATTTAAAATCATATTTTCAACTATTTTATGTCTCTCAATGTTTTGTTTTAAAAATACAGATTATGTACGTTTCCTTTGATTTTTTAAATAATATTTAATGTTTTTGTTAACTCTTGTGAATGAGATTTTTTTATTCTATTTTCTTCTTGTTATTATATTTAGGGATGCTAGTGAATTTTGCTTCTTTATTTTGCTGGTTCATTTTGTAACTTCACTCTCAGACTTATTAGGTCTAGTCACGTTCAGCTGATATGTTTTCTCCTGTTTGGTAGTTTTATGTCTTTTTGCCACCCCCCCCAACACATTGCCAAAAATGCCAAGAATAATATTATGTAATTGAGGGAACAGTAGATATTTGACTGAGGTTTAGTTTTTGTTTGTTTGTTTGTTTGTTTGTTTGTTTTGATTCGGAGTCTCTCTCTGTCGCCCAGACTGCAGTGCAGTGGCAAGATCACAGCTCACTGCAGCCTCAACTTTCTGGCCTCTGGCAATCCTTCCACCTAAGTCTCCAGAGTAGCTGGAACTACAGGCCCACACTACCACGTCAGCTAACCTTTTTTGTATTTTTCATAGAGATAAGGTCTTGCTATGTTGCTCGGGCTTCTCTCCAGCTCCTGGGCTCAAGTGATCCTCCCATGTCCTGGGTGTAGTTTTCAATTTGCGAAATTTAAAAATATATTTCAGTATGTGTATTCTGTTGACTATTTATATAAGACAGTCTTTATCACTTAAAAATATTCTAGTCTATTAGAATTTCTATAAGAAATTTCATTTTATTTTATAGCATATCTTATTTTTTTCAGGTTTAATGATGAAATAAACCTTGATTAGTTATGGTATAGTCTTGTTTAAATGTATTGCATAATTTTATTTGCGCATATTATAGAAATTAGTTTGTGGTTTTCTTTACTTATATTCTTTTTGTTAATCTTTTAGTACTAGGGTTCACTAGGAAAA